AAGAAAGAAAGAAAGAAAGAAAGAAAGAAAGAAAGAAAGAAAGAAAGGAGGGAGAGAGAGAGAAAGGAAGGAAATGAGGGAGGGAGAGGGAGAAGGAGAGAGAGGGAGAAAGAGAGGGAGAAAGAAAGAAAGAAAGAAAGAAAGAAAGGAGGGAGGGAGAGAGAGAGAAAGGAAGGAAATGAGGGAGAGAGAGGGAGAAGGAGAGAGAGGGAGAAAGAAAGAAAGAAAGAAAGAAAGAAAGAAAGAAACCCCGTGATTTAACCCTTAAGGGAAAATCCCAATTAAACCCGCCCAGTCCCAGATTTTGAAAAGAAGGGGGGGAATCCAGGCGCCTCCCCCCCCCCCTCAACGCAATAGCGTTTCTAAGGCTCTCGGCGTTTGCAGCGGGAGACCCTCAGAGCCCCGAGGGCGGGCTGCGAGGAGGCAGCCAGGCAACCCGGAGTTTTTCTCGGCCCCCGCTTGGCGTGGAAGCTCTTCGGCGTGGACCTGGCAGCCGCGAGTGGGGGGTGAGCTGGCCGGAGGCGGAGCGGAGGTTGGGCAGGGCGCGCGTTGGAAACCTGAGCGAGATGCGCCTTGCGACGCCCGGCCACCCTTCCTTGCCCCGGGGGGGAGGGTTGCAGATGGTTCATCTTTCATTGGTTGCGCGCTTTTCTCCTCCCCCCCCCCTTTCAAACAAGAAAAGAAAGGTAAGAAGGGAAGGGGAAAGGGATAGATAGATAGATAGATAGATAGATAGATAGATAGATAGATAGATAGATAGATAGATAGATAGATAGATAGATAGATAGACATAATAGGTTGATAGGAAGGAAGGAAGGAAGGAAGGAAGGAAGGAAGGAAGAAGAGATGAAGGGAAGGGAAGGAAAGGAAGAAGAGATGAAGGGAAGGGAAGGAAAGGGAAAGGAAGAAGAGATGAAGGGAAGGAAAAGGAAAGGAAGAAGAGATGAAGGGAAGGGAAGGGAAGGGAAGGAAAGGACGAAGAGATGAAGGGAAGGAAATGAAAGGGCTTTCTCTCTTCTTTCTTTTTTTTTTATCCCTTGCCACGTTTCCTCTTTCCAAAGAGCTTCCTCTGACCCTCCTCCTCTCGCGGTCTTGCTCATCTTGGCTCAGCGGGGCGATCTTCCCCTTGGTCCCCCCCCCCCCCCTGAGCTCTGCCTCCCCTGGGCTGGCTTCAGCTTGGCTGAGCCCCACTTCTGGAGAGGAGAAGGGAAGGAGGTGAGCGGCGAAGCTGGGCTGGGCTCAGCCGAGCTGCGGGAACCGGGGAGAAAATGGAAAAGATTGAAATGCCTGTTTCTTCTTTTCACCCGCCGGGCTGCTGATGCTGTTGAGTTAACCAGCTCGGCTGGGGCTTTGGCTTCTGAAAGGCCAGCCCTGATTGTTGGCCGGGGTGCTGGGCAAATCCAGTCCACTGCAGCTTATTTAAACCATAGTTAAGCAAACCATGGCTTGCGGTGGTGCAAACAAAACCCCCTGTTTCATAACTGGGCAAGGATGGGTAGAAATAGCCCAGTTGTTTTTCTCTTGTGTAAGAACTAAAGAAAAGGTATCCTTTAGATTTTGTTGTTGTTGTTGTTCAGGTTACTTAATTATTTTTATTTATTTTTTATTTTTATTTATTTATGTATTCATTTATTGTGCTCTGTACAAAGAAAGCCAATGTGGTCTATACTCTAGCAGTTAAGGCACCAGGCTATAACCAGGAGATCGTGAGTTCTAGTCCTGCCTTAGGCATGAAAGCCAAGTGGGTGGCTTTGGACCAATCACCAGGAAACAGTGAGTTCTAGTCCCACCTTAGTCAGGAAAACCAGCTGGGTGACTTTGGGCCAATTGCCAGGAGACTGTGAGTTCTAGTTCCACCTTAAGACATGAAAGCCAGCTGGGTGACTTTTGAGCCCATCACCAGGAAACAGTGAGTTCTAGTTCTGCCTCTGGTGCAAAACTAGCTGGGTGACTTTGCACCAATCACCAGGAGAGTTCTAGTTCCGCCTTAGGCACAAAACCCGATAGGTGATTTTGGACCAATCACCGGGAGACAGTGAGTTCTAGTCCCAACTTAGCCATGAAAGCCGGCTGGGTAACTTTAGGCCAATCACCAGGAGACTGGGAGTTCTAGTCTCGCCTTAGCCATGCAAGCCAGCTGGGTGACTTTTGGGCCAATCATTCTCTCTCATCCTAACTCACCTCACAGGGTTGTTGCTGTGGAGAAAATAGGAGGAAGAAGGAATATGAGATATCTTCATATTTATAGAAACGAATAAAAACAGGATAGCAATCAAATCAAATAATAAATATAAAGCCCCGTCACTTTCTCCCAGAACCTTAGAACTGGGGAGAGTGACTATATTTAAACATTAGCCTTGTGCTTTGCTTTGCTTTGCTGTGGCTTCAATCCAGCTATTTAAAAAAAACACCGTGATTTCACTTTCAAGGGAATTTCCCGATCGTGAACCATTTTGCAAGAGTTTCGATGTAGGAATGGGGCTTGGTCAACCAATCCTGAAAGCCAACCTGATTGTCAACCTTCACCCTCACCCGGAGTTAATAAAACACAGCGGCTGTGTTGATTGGCAGAGCCCTTGACTCAGAGGTCTTTGAAGACAATGGTGGCTTCCCACAAACGCTGCGTGTGCCAACTGACGTGTTACCAATCCTCTTTGTGTGTTGAAGTTTTTCTTTCTTTTTTCTTT